TTTCTTACAAGCAGTATTTCTTTAATTTTTTTCTATTTAACAAACTAGTAGTAAGTTTTTTTTTTTCTCTTCCACACACACCCCCAAATGGTTAAGAAACAATGGTAATGGCCAAGGAGCATTTCAAAAGTTAGTCTGACCAGTTACATTGTTCTCCTCCTTATTGTATTGTTGCCTGATTATTCTGATTTCAGTTTTTCATTGAACACTGACCAAAAGAAAAGAATTTTGTTTGTGGGAAGTATTCATAACATCAGGAAGTCTCAATGTTCTTCATAACCAAACAAATAGTTTTAAGTTATACCCACTATTGGAAAGTAGGACACTGTTGGAGTGTAGGAACGGTAATAATCTTATCTACTCACTGCCTCAATATTTGGTTGGTACATTGCCTGCCTCTTTAGTTATGATTTGTTGCGGTTTCTTCTGTATAGGTTTGAGTTAACCAGGTATACGTGTGGTATGTACTAGGAATGTCAATTGTTGGCATTTGAAGTGTGACAGATAGCGAAACATATAGAAATACCTGGTGATGTAATTTGCTATTGTACTCCATACGTTAGAGAAAATATCCTGTTATCCGAACTTGACGTCCCTGTGTTGTTGGATCTTTCTCCTTCTTGCTCTTTCTTTTTTAGAATTAGAATCTTGGGTGACACAACACGGAAGCAGACCCTTCAGTCCAACTTGTCCATGCTGACCAAATATCCTAAACTGATCTAGTCTCATTTGCCAGCATTTGGTCCATATTCCTCTTAAACCCTTCCTATTCCTGTACCTATCCAGACGTCTTTTGAATATTGTAATTGTATCTGCTTCCATTACTTCATTGGTAGCTTGTTCCATACACACACCATCCTTTACACGAAAAAGTTGTCCCTCCAGTCCCTCTCATCTTAAACCTATGCCCTCTAGTTTTGGACTCCCCTACACTGGAAAAAAGGCCTTGGCTATTCACCCTATCCATGCCCCTCATGATTTTATAACTCTTTATAATGTCACCTATAGCCTTCGATGCTCCGGGAAAAAAGCCCCAGCATATTCAGCCTCTCCCTATAGCTGAAACCCTCCAAAGTCGACCATGTCCTTGTAAATCTTTTCTGAACCTTTTCTAGTTTAACAACATCTTTCCTATAGGAGAGAGACCAGAACTGAATGCAGTATTCCAAAAGCGGCCTAACTAATGTACTGTACAGCTGCAACATGACCTCCCAACTCCTATACTCACTGCACTGACCAATGAAGGCAATTGTGCCAAACCCCTTCTTCACCACCGTTCCTCTCCAGTTTCAAGGAACTATGCACCTGTTTCCCTAGGTCTCTTTGTTAGCAACACTCCCCAGGGTCTTACAGTTAACTGTATAAATCCTGCCATGATCTGCCTTACCAAAATGCAACCCCTTAAATCTATCTAAATCAAATTCCATCTGCCACTTCTTGGCCCATTGGTTCATCCGATCAAGGTCCAGTTGAACATTGAGATAACCTTCTTCACTGTCCACTATACCACCAATTTTGGTGTCATCTGCAAACTTACTAACCATACCATTCTATATTCACATCCAAATCATTTACAGTAATGACGAAAAGCAGTTGACCTAGCACCAATCCTTGCAGCGCACTGGTCACAGACTTCCAGTCCAAAAAAACAACCCTCCACCACCACCCTCTGTCTCCTACCTTTGGGCCAATTTTGTATCCAGTTGATTAGCTCCTCCTGGATTCCATGTGATCTAGCCTTGCTAACCAGTTGACATGTGAAACCTTGTCAAACACCTTATTGAAGTCCATACAGACAATGTTTACTGCTCTGCCTTCATCAACCTTCTTTGTCACTTCTTCAGAAAACTCAATCGAGTTAGTCAAACATGATTTCACACGCACAAAGCAATGTTGACTATCCCTAATCTTCCATGCCTTTTCAACTGCATGTAAATCCTGTCCCCAGAATCCCCTCCAACAACCACCTCTCTGGTCTATAGTTCCCTTGCTTTCCTTACTACCTTTCTTAAATAATGGCAGCATATTATCCAACCTTCAGTTTTCTAGCACCTCACCTGTGGCTATCGATGATACAAATATCTTAGCAAGGGGCCCAGCAATCTCTTATCTAGCTTCCCACAAAGTTCTGGGATACATCTGATCAGGTCCTGGGGCTTTATCCACCGTTATGCATTTTAAGACATCCATCACCACCTCTTCTGTAATTGGACACTTTTCAAGATATCACTATTTATTTATTTCCCCAGGTTCTCTAGCTTCTATATCCTTCTTCAAAGTAAATATAGATGCAAAATACTCATTTAGTATCTCACCCATCTCCTGTGGTTCCACACGTAGACAGCCTTGTTGATCTTTAAGCGGCCCTATTCTCTCCCTAGTTGCACTTTTACCCGTCATGTATTTGTATTTGATTTTAACTATCTTTTGTGCTGCTTCTTTCCCTACCTTTTGTTTTCTTTTGTGTGGGAGGTGGTTTGTGATGTGGCACAGCGTGATGTAGAAAGTTGTCGGCTGCAATTGGCATGCGGTTAAGGAAAATACACATGCATGTGTGTGAGAGAGATAGCAGGAGTGTTAGAGTATTTACTGTTCAGATTACACACCTGTTGTAGTTTTTGTTTTCATGTGGATATATCGAGAAACAGGCCTAGTTCAATGTCCCATACTACGCTGCATATATTAGACACAGTGATAGTTGAGCATATGGATGACATGCTGTAGAAATCAGTAAGCTTATTTAAAAATGTGTTACTGAAGACACTTTCCTGGAACATGAAGCTTCACACTGCACTTCATTCACAAACAGCAATGACACCAAAGCATATGGTGACATGTTGCTGAGTACGGAAACATTTTTTGGCTGCATTGAGACAACAGAGGTAGGAGATTGGTATTGGAGTCAAGCAGATTGAAGTGATCAAGTGAGGTGCCACAAAAATACCATGTGACAGGTTGCCGTAAAACAGTGACAATTTTGGTCAGTTTCTCTTCACCAATGGAGAGCTGTCAGTGTTGAGCAGTGGAATTTTTTTTATCAGTTTTTTGATATGACTGACTATCAAATATTTCCAGATCAAGTATAGTCAAGACAAGGTGCCCTCTACTTCACCTTGATTTCGGAAGAAACATCCTGTACAACACGAAGGTAATTCTTTCCAGCTCTTGCACTAATAAATTTAATCCTGCACCATGACTGATTGTGCAAAACTGAGTACTGAATCAAGAATCGGTCCAAGTCAGCATGGATTCAGTAAATCTTCTGGAATTTTTGAGGAGGTGACCAGTAGAGTGGACAAGGGTGAATCAGTAGATGTTGTGTATCTGGACTTTCAACAAGGTTCTGCACAAGAGATTAGTAAGGAAAATTGAAGCTTGTGGTATCAGAGGTAATGTATTGACATGGACAGAGAACTGGTTGGCAGACAGGAAGCAGAGAGTTGGAATAAACAGTTTCTTTTCAGAGTGGCAGGCAGTGACGAGTGGGGTGCCACAGGGTTCAGTGCTGGGATCCCAGCTGTTCACAATGAACATTAATGATTTGGATGAAAAATTTGAAAGCAATATCTCTAAATTTGCAGATGACACTAAGCTGGGTGGCAGTGTGTGCTGTGAGGAGGATGCTAAGAGGCTGGCTGAGTGGGCAAGTACTTGTCAAATGAAATATAATGTGGATAAATGTGAGGTTATCCACTTTGGTTGCAAAAACAGGAAAGGCAGATTATTATCTGAATTTCGGAAAAGGTGAGGTGCAATGAGACCTGGGTGTCATGGTGGAACTGTCACTGAAGATTGGCACACCAGTGCAGTAAGCGGTGAGGAAAGCTAATAGCGTGCTGGCCTTCATAGTGAGAGGATTTGAGTATCAGAGTAAGGATGTCTTGCTGCAGTTATACAGGGCCTTGGTGGGGCCACACCTTGAGTATTCTATGCAGTTTTGGTCTCCTAATCTGAGGAAGGACATTCTTGCTATTGAGGGAGTCTAGCAAAGGTTCACCAGACTGATTCCCAGGATGGCAGGACTGACATATGAAAGACTGGATTGACTGGGCTTGTACTCACTGGAATTAAGAAGAATGAGGGGTGATCTCATAGAAACATATGAAATCCTAATGGGACTGGACAGGCTAGATGTGGGAAGAATGTTCCTGATATTGGAAGTCCAGAAGTAGAGCTCAAAATCTAAGAATAAAGGGTAAGCCATTCAGGACTGAGATAAGAGAGAATTTCTTCACTGAGTTGTGAACCTGTGGAATTCTGTCGCACTAAAAGCTGTTGGGGCCAGTTCATTAAATATATTCAAGAGGGAGCTGGATGTGGCTCTTGTGGCTAAAGGGATCAAGGAGTAATGAGAGAAAACGGAAATGGGATACTGAAATTGCATGATCAGCCATGATCATATTGAATTGTGGTGCAGGCTCAAAGGGCTGAATGGCCTACTCCTGCATCAATTTTCTATGTAAGAAAATCAAATCAACGGTACAAAAAACAGCCAATGTCATTAGCTGCTGTCAACACTCCGTATGGTATCCACAAATAATAAGTCTCATTTACCTGAAATGAAGTCACATTTGGCAGGCAATGTTATGTTCCTATGGTCCTTTAATCCAACCTAGTTATTACTGACTGAAATGGACCTTTGCATAGTGGTAAAGCAGTAGAAAATCTGTTCCAAAGTGCTACCAGGCAGCCATGCAAGTGATTACTAAGGAAAATGAGCTATGCCATTCATTTACAACAGGGCTTCCCAAAGTGGCACAAGCTGAGATTTTAGGGCCATGAACACTGATGCAAAAAGATCTGAACTCTTTCTTCATCACTACTTCCTGATCCCTGTACTCCTAAGTCCTCTGTACTCGTCCCACATCTCGTGCTCATGGTTCTCCACTGTTCACCAAGGCATGGCAATGATTTTCAAGCCTTGAAATGGGTTCACAGTGGGAAAAGGTTTGGGAACTGATTGACAATATCTCACAGATACCCTTTTTGTGTTGTTGCAGGTTTCATGTCTGATCAACCTTTTGGATCCCAATTCATGTGCAGTGTTGTAGCATCTCATGTCAGTCACCTTCCACAGACAAATCTGAGTTTTGTCTGGATCGCTCCACCAGCAGGAACAGGCTGCGTGAATTTTATGTAAGTAAACATATATTATAAGAAGCAACATTGTCTCCAGTGAAGCCACTCCATATACTGAATTAAGATTAACATTTTGTTCTATTTAAAATTCTTGTGAGCACAAATTTATTGGTTATAATTCATAGATTTATAAAGCTATTTGTTCAAAAAGTAATTAATAATAACTAGACAACCCAGTTCTGTTCTTCTATTACTAGGTGAAGGTATAGACATTTGTGTGGGCACAAGTTATTTTAACAAAACAGAGTACCATTCACTTTAAATCTATGAAAATTGAAAATTTTGTAGCATGTCCTCCGTATGTTTTGATTTCATTCCAATTGCCACTATCGTCCAGTGAAGTGTTTCACTTGAATTCTGCCATTCAGAACCATCCTACCTGAAGTTCACATAATGTATATTTTGTCAATCCAGAAACAGACTTGGCACATAAATCAAAAAGGCACACTGGTTCCGACGTGCAGAATTCAGTTCCTCTAAACTTATGAATCAGCTTGGCAAAACTATTGTTTAAGTCTAAAATGAGAACTTTTCTCCTTGATAAATTTTAGTTGTAATTTTATTATAAGCAGTTGACCATTAGTCTCTTACATTATTCACTTTTTGTTATGCTCTGAGGTGATCGCTTAATATTCATTCTTCTTGTCCTCTTCTTTTAATCAGCACCTTCCCATCATATATATGTCAAATTAGGTATGGTAATAAATTAATTATCTCAGTGTAAACATGAGGATTCCACTCTCTGGCTTCCTTTCCTTTTGATATGTCATGACTCATGCATGTGTGTGTGTGTGTCTCTCTCTCTCTCTTCCCCCCCCACCTTTTCTCTCTGCCTCACTTTTGGGGGAGTCAGCCTTCAAACAAATGTTTACAATCTGCCCCTGTCAAAGATGACATAATTGAAGACTTATTAAGCTGGAATTCTGGGGCCTAACTTTAACATTATTGTGTTTGATTACTAGGCCTAAAATGGATATAACGGTATCTGGAACTCAGCTGATGAGACCCAAAAATGAATTTAGTCCATTTTGGCCTTTTCCATAATGCATTAACATGAGTATTTACCCATCTTACTGCTCCAAGATCATTGGAAAGAAGCAAGGTGACACATGTAACATAGAATGGCTTCATTCCTGCTTTGTTCCTTGGTTTCAATGGCAGGTGAAGGCCCACATTTTAAGTTAGCCCATTTCCTGAGAAGGATACCAACAGTAATGCCCTACTAGGTAATACCATTTCAAAGGCTGTGCAGTCAATGTAATTGTATTTTTCCTTATTGGGACCACAAGTAGCAAGGGGCTCCCCTTCTAACCCCTACTGCCTGTGACTTGTAGAATGAGGCTTTGTGAAAATATCCCACACCCCAGTCTTGTTAGTTTCCATTATCCAGTACCAATGGGCAGTCTCCAGACTGCCGGATCCTTGTCCTCCCCAACTGTTTGAAGCTTGATCAAGCAAGGGACTGGTGCCATTCACATAATGCAGATAAACTCTTCTGGGATATCTCTTGCAAATTTCCAACCAGGAATGATATCTGCTTCTGCCAGATTCCCACTGGAAGATAACATCAACCCAATTTTGTTTGTTTTTTTTATCTAACACATTGGCCCAAATCTCCTGATCAGGGTCAGAAACTCTATTTCCAATTGTATCAGACAAAATGGCACACTTCTCTTTAACTGTAGTCTTTAGGACTGGCTTCCATGGAGGATCCTGCAGAACTCACCAAGCCTAGAACGCCTTGCAAAGAAGAATACAGAAGTCTTTTGTAGAAGCTACGCCCACTTCTTATAGTACCAGCTGCTTTATTCAGTAGATAGGCACAAGTTAAATGCCCAAAGTCTCTCTGAGAAGCCAAGGAAAGAAGGTTAGTGTGTACGGTAAATGTTTAAGTGGGTAGAGTGGGTATAGGGTTAGGATGGCCAGTGGGTGGGTGAGGCAGGTAACAAGTGGGTGAGGAGGAGATGGGATGGTGAGTAGGTGCAGGATAAGGAGGTAGGATGGCAGGTGGGTAAACAATAGATTGATTATTGACTAGGGAAGTCGAAGGGTCAGGGCAGTAGTCAGTGGGGTGAGTAGATGAGGCTGATAGTAGGGATAGTTGATAGCAAGAACTGCAGATGCTGGAGTCAGTCAATACAGTGTGGAGCTGGAGGAACACAGCAAGTCAGGCAGCATCAGAGGAGCAGGAAAGTCGACATTTTGGGTTTACACCCTTCATCAGTTGGGTCACCAGGGGTGTCATGGGGGGTTTATCAGAGGCGTAGTTGAGTAGGGAGGATTGTCAAGGGTTAGGCGGATGTTCAGTATTGGGAGAGTTGGGAAGACGAAGCAAGAGACGAATCAGTGTGGGGTGGGTCAGTTTTGTAGTTACCCAGGAATGAGACTTCTGTTTTAAATCTGTCTGGTGTTTCCTGGGTAACTCTCCAGTCTGAACCCTGTGAAGTCTCCGACACTAACTGAGGGTTGGAGATGTGTTGAGTATTCAGGTGCAAGATAATTGCCCTTTGGAAGCTGAAACTTCCCAGGTAATTCCCACACAGTCAGTGCATCACATCCTCCAATTGGTCAAGATATGTGGCTTTGGGATTAGTTTCAGTCTCTGACTATCTGGACACTGGAAGATCTGGACAGTCTTTTCCAGGGAACTAATATTCTGGAACTTTTGTGGGCCAATTTTCCTTGTCTATTGCCAGCTGTGTCTACAATTTAAGAATGCTCCTTAAATCCCCTGGATGATATTGTGTTAAGCAGGACTCATTTTCATTAATTCATTCATTCCAATCTTTAGTCATAGGTCCAGATGGAAATATAAGGGCTGCATTAGTGAGTGAAGAGGAAAATGGATTATGTAAAATTTCAAGTGATAAGGACAATAGAAGGTGAGAGTTCTGAAACCTTTTAGAAAGATTCAAGACATGCCAGCCTTATTAACTGACTTTTCTAAAGCAAAACAGGCGAAGGATTAAGAAAGGTACAGATGATATACAATAGAAGCCTGTTGTACAGGCTTGAAACTACAGCAGATTGGTACTGGGATTTGCGCTGCCAGCTCTATGGTGTATTCCAGCAGGAAGTGTCCTCAGCAGATGGCATAACTCTGAATCTGGCTCTCTATTAGTCCATCCCTGAAAAATTCTCCACAGCCGCTGCCAGGCAGCATTATCTGGAATAACGTTAGTGGCATTTTGGCAGATGCTTCCTTTCAGGCTTTGCTGGCCTGATATGCCTTCCGACATGCAGCACCACATAAAGCATGATTACTGTGATTGTGCTGCTTCGGAAGAATTGTAATAGTTTAATCAAATGTTCACCTTTGTGAGCTGTTGATGCCATAATTTACATTGAGAGTTAAAACAAACTGCATGCAACATTTTTCTGCCAAAGTGGGTCAACACTGTCTACCAATGCTGCTGTGTTTGAGATAGCTGTAAACAGGGCACAGAGTCTGTTTTGTGTATCGGCCATATCTTCAGTAATCCCTTCTCCTTGCAGGCTCTCACATTGCAGATTCCCTTGGAAAATCTCCTGTACATTGCCTTATAGCATGACTTGTTGCATGCCAAATGTGATTGACCAGTTACAATGGGCCTTATTTAGAATAGTGGTCTGTGAAAGTACCTGTGAGGACTGAAAATGGTGTTCCTAGATCCCTTGCATTATAGGTAGTCACAAACCTGCTTGAAACAGCTTCTTTCACTGCCCCTGTCCTGCCTCCAAAAGTTGGAATTCATATCTTAGGCTTTTTTTCTCATTGGAGTGTCCTGCAAAAAGGGGCTAGTGAAATTTTCCAAAAAGGAACACCCGCCATTGTCTCTAATCAACATTTTTCTCCTTCTATCATTTACAGCCCTTTAATACCCAAATCGGGTATTATTTTACACCCTCACTTCTATCTTTTGAACTTTGCTGGTGTCTTGCAAAATAAGCTTTGGTTCTTCCAATTGATATTTTTCAATTTAAGAAGGGTCTACAAGAGAACAGTAATTCCCAAAGAAGATAACATAACAACGAATTATATGCAAACAGCAAAGGAGCACCGAGAGATGCATGTCATGTTATCCAAGAAACCCAGGAAAGCAGCAAAATAATTTTCACAACAGGAGAAAAGGAGGATCTGGGAGACCTGGCATGAATAACTTCCTTAGAAGAATAATCTAGGAAAAACCTGTAGCTTGGGGAGGACTTTCAACACTCGTAGGTTTTTTTTAAAATCTTTTCACAACCTGTTCAGTATCCTGGCAGGTGGTGAGCAGTCTACATGTGTAGCAAATGAGAGAAAACTGTGAAGCATGGAAATATAACAATTAAAAGAGCTCCATTATCTATGACTGACATTCCTTATTGTATTATGCGAATTAGTTACAGCTTTCTGGTCAGACATTTATAGTGTCTTAAATCTCAGCTTGTTGTTTAAAGTACTACAGCCATCACAGGGAGTAATTTGGACTAAATCCAGGCAAACAATGTGGTACTTATAGTCTGCTTTGTGGAAGATTAGAATAAAATATGTTATTAGTCTTTTACAAAGCCATTTATTGCCCATTTTTTATAGTTCTCACAACACTTTTCTATTAAATGATAACTATGCCAACTTAAACATTGCTTTAATTATGAACTTGTTTTCTAGTTTGTGTGTGACTTGGGAAACCGTAAGCATATAATAATGAACTAACCAATCGATAAAACAGTGTGATACTCTAATAGCCAATAATACAGTGCCCATAAAAAGGTGAGAGGCTCATGCAAGAGTCACTTATCCTGTGTATCTATAATTGACTCTTTAAGAGGTGAAATTTATTTTGTGCAATATCCGTATATATTTCTTTTGGCAACGCTGTCATGCTGCTGGCTTGCCCTTTACAGTAATAGGGTTACATTTTATCTCTCAGTAGATTTCCTGAATCTTGCTCTCCGCAACCCAATTCCACACCAGTGGCACAAATTGACCTCCACTTGGTGCTCACCCACGTGGCAGGTTGGTTAATCCCAGGGAC